TTAAAAACTATAATCCTGTTAAATTAACGTAAAAATACTATAAATGTGCGTTTAAAATTAATTTGTCACTTTTTTTCCTCACAATGTTTGTTTGCGTTATTTAACTTTGCAAACGTCATCTGATGTCACAAACGGCTCTTACGTCTATTAACCGTGTCAGTTTTGAAAGGCGTTAAATTCACATTCAAGGTTAACGAAATAAGCAATTATGAAGAAGGAAAATTAGAGAATGTAAATATAAGCATTGAATTCATATTTTTGTCTGTCTTCGGTCCTATAACACACCTGGCCGTGCCGACAAATTTATCATACCGCACTAACGCGCGGTATTCAATTTGTCGGCACGGCCAGGTGTGTTATAGGACCGAAACCTTTAATGCAGTGGACACTCAAGGGGACTTATTATTGTTAGCATACAAGTGTAACAGGAATAGGAGAAAATGTATGGCTGACCAGGAATCAAACTCGGGACCCCTCCTTCACTAGTCAGGTTCTCTACCGACTGAGCTACCCAAGCTTATATCCATGGCCCAAACCTTTAAACATGGTTGAAAATGACATGTATTAAAATAATTTGGGACACACACATCGTCAGCTTAAATTCAAGGAACCAGAATTTTCACTTAAAATCTACAGCATTTATTATTCCTACATATACTGATATAGTGATATTAAGACAAACTTACATAAAGACGACAGAAGAGCAATTTTATTAATCTACTTGGTTCTCAGTCTATGGTGTTCAAGAACTGAAGAAGGCAAATTAAAGTACACTGTAAACTAGGGGAAGTGAAAGATAAACACTTCAATCTTTGGAAGATGCTTAATATTTAAATTGGGTTCGGGATAAGGATAATTGCAAATTTTGATCATAAATATCTGCAAGTACTTATGAACATGATGAAAGAAGTAAATCGAGAAATCCGAAATAAGGACATTAAATTTGCTTGACCATGAACCTATATTAGATCCCTAGTTTGACAATGACATTTCTGTAAAGTATTTAGGCTACAACAGTTACAATCACTTAGAACCAGGTGTGTAACATTTCATATTAACAGTCATCTTAATCAATTATTTATATCCCTCTTCACTAAAGTCAATTTACACAGTAGTGATAATTTCATGACCAGGTTATCAAAAAGTTAGTGACAAATACAGGTGTTCGACTCGGTCAGATTTTTTTTTTCAGATATGTAATTCAATAAAACTTGTATCTGCTATCACTGAATAGGGCAAGGTTTTGGAGGTTGTCCAAAATTTTTAAACGTCAACCAAATAGAAATCTATACATTTCCAAAAATTATTGACTATTTAGGATAGTCTTAATAAATATCGTGTACCAATGACACTAATACTGAATAACTGACATACTTTGAATTTTTACCACGCTCTAAAAACTACAGAAATCTACAAGACTAGCATGTATTTAAGTGTGTACAGGTAAAGCAAACGATAATGCCCGAGTTGTATGTTTACAAATCAACAATGTTACTTACGATATATTCCCGAACAGCGTTGTGGAAAACTTGTTCCCTGATATCAACATCTACATCTTCCGACATATTTTCAATCAAACAATTTTAAATAAAAAGAAGAAGTCATTCATGAACAGATTCTTCGACATGACGCCAGGAATTGTTGTCATTCTGCCATCTAGATGTACAATTCCGAAGGATTCCGAATGTAAGGATCAATGTATATTTGCGATTACAGATAACATCATTGCACCGAAACGAATAGAACGGCGATATTTGTTCATAAATGCAACGTGTCATTAAAAATATTGCATCAGAGCCACAGGCACCTGACGTTACTTATTTTTCTTTTAATAAAAAAATATATACTCCTACCGTTTATTATTAGGAAGGGGTGTATTTTTTATTAAAAGAAAAATAAGTAACGTCAGGTGCCTGTGCATCAGAGCACCATAGAAGAGAAAAATATGTGAAATCTGCCTCTTGGAGGAAAACTTCATTCTGGAAACTCCCTTTATTATGTTTATTCGAAAATTTGAATTATTCATTAATTTTAAAGAAGTAAATGAAGGCACCAGTTGAGAGAGACACGTTATTTTTTTATGAAGTATATTTGGGTTAAATACCACGATAAAGAATTAAAACTTGATAGAAAAGAGAAAAAAAGTCACAAATGCCTTGTGATTCACCCGAGATCAAATTAATATGGATCTTTTTGCACTTGGCAAAAAATTGCATGACTGAAATATTGATTAATAAATACTGAGAATGATATATAATGCTTTGCAATAAGAATAAAATAGCCTTGTTCTCTCAAATATGTGACTTGAATTTTTTCCACTTCAAGATAAGAAAATGAAGCAAAATTAAATATACTGTTAAAAGTCAGTGAAAGAGCAATGCCATATGACCTTTTTAAGAAATAGAAATACCCCCACCCCCATCACAAGAACCATGACCTGCACAACGTGTTTAATTCAGTTAAAATATAGATCCATATAATTTACTGTTCTTCCTGAAACCTTTTCCTAGTCAGTTCTTTTCCCCCCTTTCTTTGGGGGGGGGGGGGATTTGAAAAAATCAAGCTCAATCATTTGAAATTCAGTTCTTTGTATAGCTACTTGTTGTCTGCATGATACTGAAAATTCAACTTAACTTTTTATTGAGTTTTATTTCAGAAAAGAGTTTTAAAAATTGATTGATGAATCTAAATTATTTAATTAAGAAGTTATATTCATTTGAATTTTTTTTTTTACTTATAAGTCTGTTCTCAATTTGTGGTCTTGTAGCCTGATCAAATTAATGTGCCACTTTGAAGACCTTATCGAAGAATTTTGTACATGTATATGAATTACATGCATGTCCACTTTTCTATTGCATGTGCAAATTCTTTCCCCATTTAGTCCACAGTCCAGTTGAGACAGATGTTATATGAATACCTTATACATTTTTTTCTTGCAAATTAATGTCTCTTGCCCTACAGAAGAGAACACCCCCTCCCCACCCCGCTACAGGTTAAGCTTTGTCAGTGGATCCAGCAGTTTGGCGTTGCTTTTTTTCTCCTCTCCGTAATCTAGAGATCTCGAATATAATGTCACGCGTACGATGTCAATATAATCCGATCGTAAAATAGCGTATGATAGTTTATCTTATTGTAGGAAAAACATATATTCTTTTCAAAAAGGTCTACTGGCCTGGGTTCTGCATACCGGTATGCAACCATGAATTACGATGAAAATACCAGTATGAAGAGGGGATTGTATGATCATACACGTACATTTGTTTCCTTAGGGGAGGAGTCCCTGTAAAACCAATCATCTGCTACATGTAGGTATTTTAGGGGAGTAGGGCACTGCATAGCCAATGTTCTTTTAGGTCCCCTTGGTGCCTGTGCAGATAATAGGTCAATGCCCAGAAAATCTGTTTTAGATAAAAAAGTAAAACTTTGTATAGACCCATATTATCTGTGTGTATGTGTGTTCTTATGGGAAAAGTTTCAGCTTTGTGAGGGAGAATAATTCATTAAAAATAATTTTTAAAATCGGTCTAAAAAATTAAATTGTCTGTCCGTATTTAGCTGTCTGTGTGTCTGTCCGTAAAATTTTTTTGGTTGTTGAGGCATGCCAGAAGGTGGAATTCATTTTGTTCATATCCGATGTCAACTTCCTAATTATGCGTGCGTCAGTCCGTACCATACATAACAGATTCTCAGCAACTACTTATTGCAGATGCTTTAAATTTTAGCACATTCTTTGTTGAGGCATGTCATTTTGTGGGATTCATTTTTGTTTAAATCCTATGTCAACTTCCTGTTTATCTTTGCGTCTGTCCGTACCATACATAACAAATTTTCGTCGCAGTTTTCTGAGCAACTATACTCATCGCAGATGCTTGAAGTTTTTAAACATTCTTTGTTTAGGCACGTCATATCAAGTAGTCAAAACAGAATTAAAAAAATAAATTTTAATATTCAAATTCTTTATTTACTATATTTAACATGAAAATGTTTAACACAAACAAATAATAAAACCATTCTGGCTTTGGAACATTACACCACATTTACTACAACATTTCTCCCGTAACTCCCACATCTAACTCCGTCATCACAATAATAAAGATCTGTAGGTCATTGAGGAATCCACTGAACAACATCCATAAAGCATTGTACAAATCCACCCTTTAGTATAAAATACAAATTATTCATAAATCTACAGCTTAGTTGAGAAATTCTTCCTCTTTGTTTTTTAAAAAATGGTGATATTACTTGACAGGTTTAAAATTGCACTTGCCATTTTTATAATATAAATTACACTACAGAATATTGCAAATTTAAATGCTAGTTATGGACTTAATAAAAAGATGATTGAGCTGTAATACATGTACAACCGATGAAGACCAATCTGATTAAAATCAGATCCTTTGATCTGTAGCGATCTATGTGAGTGGATCAAAGGATCTGATTTTAATCAGACTGGATGAAGATATAATTGTACAAACAATTCATAGAATTCAGTTCTAAATTTAAAATCACAATCTTAAATAAAGTTGTAAATGCAAATGTTCATAAACCCTTTATCAACATGTGGATATCATTAGACTATAAAGAAAAAAATCACAACCAAAAGTTCTGTTTGTGTATCTGCTTTTCTATTAATTATTTACTTAATAAATCAATTCCTACACATAGATTTATCAAATACCACTTTATATAAATATATATCTTGAAATAAAATGGCAGCTTTCTTTCTGTTTACCCCCCCCCCCCCCCCACTTTGTCTTACAGAAAAAATAAAACTGCTGCAAAATAAAAGCTGTATACAGTTGTCAAGGATATAAATGTATTTTGTAGGAATATCAGAAACATAATAAAATAATAATAAAATAAATATACAACCTACAAAATAAATATACAACCTATACATTAGAGATTCATTAAAGAGATCAATAACTACACGTTATAAGAGTCTAATATTATGGCTAATCCGATATAAACTTTTAGGGGAACTTATTTGTAACAAGCATCCTGTAAACAATATCACAAAGCTATTACCGGTAAACACAACAATAAAATAAATATACTGGATTTCTTCTCCAGAATAAAGGGACTATGTCATATACCATTGAAATGATGAAAGATAAGGATTATCATAGGGACTTTATCTTCAAATAATTAATAGCTTGTCCAAAGTTGACCTTAAAAATAAATTTGTGAATTTCATCTTCCAAAAAAAAAATTATTAATAATATAGCACTTTATAAATCAAAATAAAGAAAATTAAAAAAACCCAAACAAAACAAACATTAAAATTCATTTGTATACAGGAAACTGTAATCTGAAGTACATGTATATATGTAAATCCAAATTTAAATTTAATATATATCAAGCTAAATCTGGCAAGAAAAGAAAAATGTTCAGACACAAGGAAGCACAAATAAAATTGATGGAAAACTCTGGAAGTTTTTAAAATAATATATTTTCCTTGTATATTCCCAAAATAATCTACAATCATTTAAGCCACCTAAAGATCCCCCCAAAAAATCAACATCATTCTCCTTATATCACTGTTAAAATAAAATATCATTTGTAATACATGTAATAAATAACAAGGTCAATATAATGGTATTTAACAGTGATCCTAACTATTATGTCTCAAATTCCAATAAAGCATAAAAAGAGGTGCACCAAAAGCTCCACCCCAATTAATGGGAAAGATGAAAACCTGCTAATGACTCTTACAGAGTCTGATTAAAACAAAGGAAAATGCCAAACTTCATATACTTTAGAGGTTCAAGTCATGTGAAAATGTTTTAGAAACCAGATTTAGACTCAGAGACTGCATTCTAAGTTTCTATTGGTAGAAACATATACATCTATCTGGTGTTTTGAGGAGAATGAAGATGGAATGTTTATAATTTTGTGTGATGAACACTGTAATCATTCAGTCACTGTTGTAATCATCAAAGTTCTCTCCCCTGACAATCTCGGACTGATGATAGCGCCCTCTGCTGGCAAAGTCCTCATTGTCGTCAGTTAGCTGGGCAGCCATTAGGTTCATTGCTGGCGTGGCTGGCGCGACGATTATCTCCTCTTGTACATCCTTCCCACCTCTGTTAATGGAGAAATCATAAGCTGACTATTGATAATTCTATTAGAAAATCTAAAGTAAAGTTTACAAGTGTAAAAGACGAAAGCTGTGGAAAATTTTAAAATAAGTTTTTAACACACACACAAGCAACTTAACAGGTACTATACATGTATCCACTCAAATTTCATTGTGAGGGGATAATAAAGTATTAGTAATACAAAATATATATTTACCTGCAACAACGTTTAATGCCTCCTTTAATCCACTCATACATGTTAAAATCGGCAATTCCTGCAGAGAAACAAAAACAAGAATGGTCATGTTTAATTTTACTATATACTAAAACTTATGTTTATTTGAAATCCTTTTGGGAAAAAAAAATTCAAAGTTGTATTGAAATCAAGTCAATAACCCAAAGAAAAAGAACTTTCATCAAGTTAAACAGGTTGACCTTTGGCTCAGCTTGAGCTGACTTGTAGTGTATTGAAGTGGTAGCCTACCTGGGAAGTAGCCTGGGCTGGCCTGTCCTATGTAGATGTATATGATTAGTACAACTGTCATCTCCCCCAAGGCATAGGCCCACTGTACCGAGAACATGATGACGATACACACTAAGGTCTGGAAGCAAATACATGTATCATTAAACTTATCATTTTATCAGTGGTCTTAAAAAATAATTTAAGCAAGGTCAACTTAAAGTTTCATTAGCCTTACATAAAAGTTGAATTGTTCACCATTTTAAATACTGTGGTGAGATTGGTAGCAATACACATACCCCAAACAGTGAGAGCCACCTGTTACATAGGAAAGAGTACATACCGTGGAGAGACTGGTAATAATACACATACCCCAAACAGTGAGAGCCACCTGTTACATAGGAAAGAGTACCAGGAGGTCGGTTGTTTGATGATTTCATCGCTCAAGGATTTCTTCTCTTTTTCTGTTAACAGTTAATTTATCATAAATTATATTCAATGAACTTCACAAACGCCATTTCAAATAAAGAATAATCATAAAAGTAAAGTTTAAACATATTATCTTCTGTACAGAAGATGTGGATTTTTTTGGTTCATAAAGAACTTTACCATGAATTCTGTACGTACCATCATCCCAATATTACATCATTCTGAATACTTTATAAACAATATACTTGACCCTACATTGTGTATATTTCTCTTTGTTACCTGTTCCTTGTGGTGTTTTCTCAGGTAGAAGATTAGACTTGTCCCCCTGGTCAGTGGTGTTCTCCGCGGAGAACCGCCTCTTGGTGGCGTCAAAGTCTGCCTCAGGTGTGGTGGCTCCACTCTGACCACTCCCCTGTCTAACAAGGTGGTGCTGCCCGCGCTGTGTCATTCTCTCTGGGAACAGACTGTCTAAATCACTGGCCAGCTTCTCAAATGAATCCTTAGGTCTCGGGACCGTGTAAGTTCCATAACTAACACCGCCATTTCCCAGGTCCCCAGCAGACAGCTTCTTTTTGTTCACGGGTCCATATTTAAGTTCATTTTCCTGATGTTTATCGTAAGACATGGCAAGTGCAAAGTAGGCATAATCTATAGCTGCGTAGGTCATCATAAATGCAGTAGTGACAATTGGGGCTAGGGAGTTTACGTCCCCCACAAAGATGAATAGAAGTGTGACTAGAGTTATAAGGATTAAAGCATAAATAGGAACTTTGTTAGGTCCTCTCTGAAAAAAAGATAAGAAACTCATTTAAGATTGATTATGGCAAAAATTAAACTCAACTTGTCTCTTATTGAAAAAGATGTCTTCAAAGAAGTACATGAACCTTTGTTTTTTTTTTACCCCAAAAAGGTCACTGGTAAAAAATTATGCTAATAAAAATCTATTAATCATGTACATGTGTAAAATATTTTCATTACGCTTGTAACAGAAGCTCATCTTTAATAATCAACCCTATTATTCTAAACACATTGCAGACAGAAACTTATTTTACATTACAAGTGAAAATAGGAATAAAACATAATTAAACCTAAAGTCTTTCAATTTATACTGACCCCTTGACCTAATAAACGAATTATTGGCATGACGTTCTCGTTCGCTATGGACTGGAGGATTCTGGGAGGTCCATAAAGACTTCCCATACACGACGATACAGAGGATATATATAGACCAGCTAACCATAGGAACCCCGCTATAGACACCTGGAAAAAACAATAATTAAACAATTAAAATATCAGCTTTACAGTATGGGAGACCAGAATTAGTTACCTGTAAAGCACATGACACAGACAATCAAAATAACAGCAATAAAATATTGTAAATTACTTTTTATTTCAGAGAACCTTATTTTTGCATGATTTTGCAAGAGAATGTGCTCTAGAAATTTTCATTCTTGCATATATTTGTAATCCTTAAAATTATATAGAGCAAAAACCGTCATTCATGAAAATTTTGTCTGCTTATAAAGATTTCATGAATATCTCACAAAAAAAAGGTGTTGCAAAAATTTAGTGATCTACAGTATTGGAATCCAGCCTGGAAAACAAAGGAAAAGGACAATCAAATTATCAGAATGAATTAAATTTTGCCTTTAAAACCCTGCAGTAATATAAAGCTTACCTTTTCTGCTATCATGACATCATCAATGAGGTAGAAGCGTACACACGTGGCACCAAGGACTAAGGTGAATGAAACATATAGAAGGGTTCTGAAAAGACAGACAAAAAAATCTAAGCATCCCCAGACAAATTACAAACTCAGAATTCTAACCCCAGGGGAAATATCTCAAGTAAATTCCACGCACTGCTGTGAACTTAATCAATTACTCACGAGACACCAAGTGCAGCCAGGGTTCCCTGTGGAATGTTGTTAAACGGGTCTTTAAGATCCCCACTCATGTTGATTCCCGCTAAGATTCCCGTTACCGTTGAAAAGAACAATCCCATCATGCTGAAAAAGCTCTCGCCTTCCAGGAAATCGGGATTGGAATTATTACGTAGATTGACCTCCATATAACCTGTCACACCATGCTCTGTAATCCAAAGCAAAAGTTAAAATCTATTCAGACACATGATTATTTCCCCATGTTTGATACTTAAATATCAATATGATATGAAAATTGGGCTCCTTCTATACATATTACTTACAACACATGAAAATTTTTTATAACTTTTTTTTTTTTATTGAAAGAAAAGGTTAAATAATTGCTACTTGCTAACCTTGTTCCATTTACTGAAAAAGTTGAAAATGAGTCTCATTGATCTGTGTGATCAAAAGATCTGACAATGTGATCAATAACTCACATGTATCTGTGTGTACATAAGATCCCACGATGGTTTTTATAACTCACGGCCTAGTTCAATGTGTACAAAAGATCCACAACTCACCTGGATCCGTGTGTACAAAAGATCCCACGATGAGATCCATGGCAGAAAAGAACAAGGCAAACAACAGAATGAGCTGTAGTCGGATCACCCACTTCACTCCAGCTATGTTTATACCTGAAAAAAATTGAAGATGTGCATATAAAATAGAGGAACTACATGTGTATTGAAGAATTTCAGGGTATATATAGGGTATATTCAATGTCTTGTCGTTGAATATGAAATTTATTTCATAAATGGGACAGGATCCTATCTCAAAAGTGAAATAAATTTCATAGTGTCATAGGCTACATGATGTCAGACGTTACAGCATACCCCCCGCTTGAATTTTCGTCCGTTATTACGTCCGTCTGTCCGTCCGTCTGTTACGCTTTTTCCTTATCCGCAACTCCTCTCATACCACTGAATGAAATTTGATGAAACTTTCACAGAATCTTTATTACATGTTATTGTGCACCTCCTATTTTACTTTTTGATACGACACATATTTTGGGTTTCCCGGCCACAGGAAAACATGGACTTTTTCACCAGTTATAACCATATGGGAGGCGGGGGGTATCATTTAGTGAGCTCATCGCTCACAGTACCTCTAGTTTGAGATTGGAAGTCTTGTAAACTGCATTGCATTGCTCAATATACATACAACAGTAGAGATGTTTTTTTAAAAAGTTATACATTTTCACTATATATGATCTATAAATCCTTATCCTAACTCCAGAACTACTGACCCTGGGGTTATGAATTTCACTATTTTGGCAAAGGGATCAATGCATAAAACAATCATGTCTACAGTGTGACTGCTTGATGTTCAGGAATAAAGATGGAGAATTTCAAAGATTGCATTAATTCAATGGTTTTTAGCTTTACCCCTATGACCTGAGGAGCCATAAACTTTTTTCCCCAAGATGCAAGCTGAAATTGGTAGAAAGTGTTTCAGTGGTCTTCGAGAAAAAGCCTATCAATATTAATTTAAAAATGCTTGTGACTGACACACATCACATGATGACAGACAAAGACAGATAGCATTAGTCACCTAGTGAATCTGGTGACAAAAAAGTTTGAAATATACAATAATTACCCAGCAGAAGCAGCACTAAGGCTATAGCTACACCCCTGGCAATCCATGGATCCTCCTCTCCCATTAGTCGCATGATGGATTCCCCAAACCCCATAACAGACAGTGAACAACTGACAGACTAAAAAAGCATTTTATTGAATTAAAAAAACTACTGTATACAGGGAAATTTTCGCCCCTTTCACCCTACCCGCATTTGTGCGAATTTAAATGGGGGTGAATTCAAAGAATACAGTATAACTTCTTAAACAAAAGTATGAATGGGCGAATTTAAAATGGGGCAAAATTGTTTGCAAGTGTGAAAGGGCGAAAATAAGATGGGGCGAAAATAACCCTGTATACAGTACTTAAATTTCAACATGTAATAAATTCTAATTCTTTTTTGATGGTTCTCAATTCTGTACAGAAAATTTCATTATTTTTCTAGCTGGCACTAACTGCATTGGAAGAATTAAACAGATTGCATTTTAGTTTAACAAAATTCATCACTTGTTGTCTCTTGGGGTTTTTCTGAGTGAATGAACATTGCAAAAAAACAAAAGGGATTTTGTTTGATCTAAAATGTGTACACTTTTTCAAATGCTAAAATAAGTACAAAAGTATACTATGTTTTACATATTAGACTCTTACTTGTGCAAAGCAGTAGAGAATTCCTATACAGCCCCCGATTCTTCCTCCCAGGACATGAGACACGAGGAAATAAACCCCCCCTCCCTCCATCTTACATCGCTCACAGACCCCTATAGCACTCAGGGCCACGATCAGTACTATGAACACAGTCACAAATATCATCAGTATCGTCAGTAGGATACCAGCATTCCCCTGCAATAAAACAGGTCTTACATTCAACTGAGGAAACTTAAATCAGACAATACACCAGTTCTCACCATCAATTAATGAAATTTAAACAGAAAATATAATAAAAAATTATTTTTAATCTTAATTCCATTTTTTTGCCTCTTATTTCATGGAGAGTGTTGTATGTAATCGCTTTAATTTTTTTTACGAGTAATATTTAAGCGAGCCTTACGACAATCCATCCCATCCTGAGGAAGATGACAACACCTAGGATGTTGATGAGACAAGAAGTGAACACTCCGTCCCACGTCCCAAACAGAACAGGCTCCGAAATAAAGAAGTTGGCCTTATACCACGGCTTCTGGGAGGATAGCTAAAAGTTACATATAAATTATATTATAATATCTCTTTTGCTCATGTTTCTTTGTTCAATAAGGATCTTTTCACAGATGTTTAGATGTTCAAGTTTAATTCAGGCAAAAAAGTATTGAAATGTAAAGAGAACCTATGATGTTTTTATATTGTAGATTCTAAATATTGATACTAAAATTATCCACATCTCACATCAACAATAGATATTAATCAGCCCAACGAGCCTCATCCATACTGAGAACTTTGTGAATGAGTAGCATCTCTACCTGATCCTCTCTGAAGAGTTCGTTATGTTTGCCTTCCTCCAGTGACTGGTAGCTGCCATCTTGGATTTCTGAAGGTGACCGGTGCACACCTGATTCTCCTTTGACTGGTTCCCGGCTCAGACCAAACCGGCTCCAGTCCGGCTGCTTCTTCTTCCCCTTGGCCTGGTCTGCCATCAGTGATGTGTTCTCATTGTCTGAGGAACCCGACATTGTTGACCTTTGACCTCCTTGCTCCACTGCATCTTCAACTCATGCTGAGACTATCTTCAAAATTTTTTTTTACAAATTTTAAATTTCTGTTAAAATATGCAAGAAACACTTTTTTCATTTTGCCAGTGATCAAAAATTGTACAGATCTCTTAAAGCATTGAGTGATCGTATTTGATTGTGTGTACTGTTTCATAAATCACGCAAGCTGTGCACACATGACCATATATATTGCCTTTTTTTACTTTATAAAAATGCACAGATCTTGTGTCATATATGATGCATTGTACTGCAATAGGATCAATGCATTAAGTTGACACCTATCTTGCTTAACCACTTTCTATTTCATTGTACCGGTATATTTTACTTAAATACCAAATACCTACTTAATATTTCATTATCCCTTCAATCTGAAGTGGATGATTTACTACAGACAGACAGACAATCACAGAAGTCTACAAAATGGAAGTCTAAAGTCTGGAAACAAATTCACATGTACATGTATCATAGTGCGTCAACAAAGCACTTTTCTATTTTTCTGATTCCAACAACTATGTTTTTCAAGAAACAATAATTTGCGAATTGAATGAAGATACATAGTAACTTGCTTTTTTCTAACATATAATACACTCATCATTTTCTCATTACAGAATCACTGAAGAAAACAAAAGTTCTCTTCAGCTAAACATCTCCACTTTATCACCACATTTACGACTAATTAGAAATTCCCTGACGATCACAGAACAAATCCTCTCAGAATACTGTAACGATCCTGTCCTCTCTCTCTATGCTATCAGCTTTCCGTTGACATTTCCCCATACGATAATTTCTCCTGACGTTGCCTCCAATATTTCTACAGCTCTCAATTACTGAGGACAATGCGTGAAGATTTTGATTACTGGGGAAAATCTGAGTTCTAGTGACTGGCATAGAAACAGAGATACATGCACGCATTCTGTTAATAGAGCTTCAACATTAACCCATACAAATGAAAATGTCATAAGATTATGAGAACATTGTAGACAAGCATGACAATTAATCATAAAAATTTTCATTATTAAAATTATGCATAAGCAGCCATTTAGAAAAATGATTCCAATCAATAGAATGCAACTGAATCCCCCTCCCTCAATTAAAAAAACCCCACAAAATATCAAAACTATTTAATTACTAACAGTGTGTAATGAACAGTAATCGATCTATAATGAATAAGCATGGTAAGTAAACAAAACGAATCAGGAACAGGACAAAAACCGGACACTCTGGTGGAATCAGGGGACTTGGAGAAGTAAACATCTCCTCTGTCAACCGCGGTCATAATAAGCATGAGTGTAATTAGTCTGAAATATGCCGTCATACATATGTAAATCCTGAGCGATTGATTACAGAAACACTGGTAAAAAGACTCAGAAGCCAATTTTTAGTGTCAACTCTTCACTAATGACAGATACAGCTACACATCAGGACTTGTTGACATCTATCATGATCTCCAATAAATATTTATTACTGATTCACATCTGTATATAGTTTCAACAGAGTTACTGAGTTATCCAATCTATCGCTGATACAAAAGCCTATAAAACTGAAAATCTTACTCAATATCGGTAACTGTAAATCAACTCATATAATGTTCCTAATACATTTACAATGTTCATGTACCACTTACATGACTGGCACTTTCTTTTTCATTTTCATTATCTTCAAAAGAAGACTTGTGTTGTATATACTGTAAATGAGACCTATTAACCTACCCCTTTCTTTCTTTTATCTCCAGACTGAAAAACGGAAGCCTAACTTCCCGAGATCACAGCAGGTATGCTATAAATATATTGGTCCTTTTTTTAACCACATTTACCTGTTAAAAACTTCCAATGTAGATAATGACTCATTTCTGGTTTAAGAAATTTAAATCCACCTGACTCCTGTAAGAAAATGTTAGTTCTACAAATAATTGTGAAGCAGTCCCAAAGTGCTGTTATTACAAAATAATTTAATTTCAGTTGTAACACGTCATTTGATTGGTTAAACGGTTTTATCCATTTTGTATAACATAACTTGCCTACGTCACAATGAGTTACGTCAAAAACGTATTAAGTGCTGGACGTTAACTTTTAAAATATGCTATATTTGAAGCCTTTTTCCGAAGGAAAAAATGGAAAAATTGTATCGTTGTCTACATTGAAATTAAATTATAAGGAATGAAGCTTATTTCAATTTATGTTATACGATATAAGAGTGCTTTTTTATAAACCGCTTCGCCGTAAACTGCCCCAAGTTATGTTATATCGTATAACAAAAGTTGAAATAAACTTCATTCCTTAAATAACATTTATTAGACTTTCGTAAGAGTGGTCAGGTTTTTAAAGAAATCAGGCCTATAAATATTAAAATGTTGACTTTATCTATTAGTTATAACAGCTGAAGATATGGACTTTAACTGGATTAAGTTTTCATTCATTTTCGTGGGAAATAAATTTCAGCCTCCATGTAGGTAGCTATTATGTGCAGTGTATTTAACTGAAGGATCAAACTGAAGATGAAGCAGCATAATAAGACTTTAAATCTCAAATTATTGGTTTAATAGAATAAATCTGCATGCCGCTTTCATTTGAACAATGCTGAGAACATTTACATTAACTGATTAAAAGCAACATTTAAATTTAAAAAAAAAGATTATACCTGCAATTTCTTAAGTTTTTTCTCAATCTATGACCTGGCCTATGTCCAAGTATTACAAAGAAGAGTAAATGCTTACTCTCTCCTATCAATAACTCTTTACCAAAAGTATTTCCAAACTAAGGAGCAGGGTGTACTAGCTGCCATGTTATTACTGGTAAGTTCCAGCATTCCTGACTGTGGTCATAATAAGCTGAGGTTCTGCCGGACAGTTTAAGTAATCTTGTAAAATTATGATCCACTCACAAAATGGTTATACATGTACTTAGAAATAACGCTGCAATAGGCTTTGACAATCTGTGGATGGTGCCACATTTTCCCTCAGCTATCGTCACTAGCCTTGACAATGCACAGCCTATTATGATGCCTGCAGATCCCTAATTACAGCAAAAATATTGTCACACTGAATGTACAACCTTAATTAATGCCACAACATCACACACATCATTCCCTGCTAGTGATCAATACAGTACCATGGTTATAATTCATCAAGACCATTCAGTACTGGTTACACTATAGCCTTAATCAGTCAGTGGTCATATGAATCAGTGGACTCAGTGCCTATATATATTTAAATCTCCCTTTTCCCCCTTATTTTCTGGATTCTTGTTCATAAAATAAACAAATGACCATTCAAGAGAAAATCAATCAAGGATGTTCCACCATAATAAGAGCTAATTAAAAGTTGTGACTCAATTACACAAAACTTAAAGGTAAAGGCCAATGGACAATGGTGGTTACAATACATCCAAAATTTTTATAAAATTGTTTTTTCCATGGTCTAATCCCACATGCACTGGGAGAAAAATTTTGTGTCAGAATAGATAAGTGCTGTGTAAAGAAGAAACAATTTATAGTAAAAAAAAAATGAGAGTTTAAGTAAGGGTCAGAATTGATAATGAAATGGATTACACAGGTGTAATGTTAGTCAGTTTACACTGTACCAACCACTCCTCAACTATCTTCATTTTCTAGCAAAGCATTTTTGGTCCACTATGCTTGCCATAAATATTTTTTAAAGTAATGATGCTGCTTGCATGCGATAGGGTCAGACATTTTGCTCTCCAGTATTTGAGTCCTTCATATGAGACTGTATAAACCAAGGTCCTGAATCACAGTAGGTGCGGGCCAACAAAATTCACTCATTTTTAAAAATGACTAAACTATATCACATATTAAGTTACAATCCTCCTGGCGAATTTACAACATTAACATGCACAAATTAAAGAACAATCACAAACTGACTCATGCATGGCTTACAGCTGATCAATTCTCTTTTAACATGTAAGAACGGCTAGAAATACCTTATACAAATCTCCAATCATCTAATCCAGGTACTGTAATTTCAACAGAATTATATTACAGAATCCATCTTTTAAAACCTCTCTGCATGTAAAAATAATGAGAGCAAGGCTCTGATACCCTTCACAATGAGAGAGAGACTGTACCTAGTATTGATTCAGCAATGCAGTTCACCGAATCCTATACCAGTTAAATAATACAACATGATATATAGAGAGTGACAATAATAAACACAAAGTTTCAATTATTTGCACTTTTCTTTTTGGTTCGCCTCAGATCCTGCCTAATCGGATGCAGTGCTACGAAAAGGATAGATATATATAATTGACTTTATTTACAATCTTTATGATCTATGTGTGAGATATGCTTGTATGCACATTGCAAATGTTCTGCATGCAACAAAGAATCGAAAAGAAAATAATGATGCTGAGCTTAAGTGTCCTACAGGTAAATATATATTCAATGAGATGTAAAAATCTGAGGAAATCAATCAGTTTACAGCATAACCAAGCCAGCCTGCCTTGCCCTCTAAGCATTTCCTTTGATATACGTATATACCTATACACTTAATGAACTCAGACTCTGCATAACAAATTATTTGTAAAGATTTGTAAAGCAATCATACAAATTCCCTCTTATTTTCATTTCTGTGTTGTGGTCTTAAATTGCTATTTTGTCTTGTATTATTGAAAAATAATTTTTTTGCATTAAATAATAAAATAGCAGTCCAGTATCCATTTTTCCTTATTGTATCTGAGAATTTTTCATCTGTTCCTTGACCATGTAGCATCTTAAGACAGAAAAACCTCCGTATGAACAATCAATAGGAGATATACTAAGGTCTCCACTCCGGAAAACACACAACCTGAAAATGTCAGAAAATCCATAGCGATAACGTGGTCACCATTAGCTACACGATAGTGATCACTGCAATGGATTTTCAATTACACCCAATAAAGAAATACATTCCATAATCACTGACAAATCAGTCCACAGTAATATTTCATGTGCATATCTTCACTGAATTTATACTGTGTGGGCTAGAAAGCCACCATGGTTACCATTATACTCCTAATAAAAAGGTTAAAGAACAGGAAGAGAAAGGAGATTATTTCAATGTAAAAAAAAATGGATGGACATTGTATTACAAAAACAATGCCTTCAGAAGGGAAGGAGATTTTTCTAGGATTATCCTTCTTTTCTCCTGGAATAATTATCTGTGAGAAAGGGTTGCATATTTTACACCACAGTGTGATTTTGATAGGTTTTTCTTTAATTTATCTCCCCCCCCCCACCAGAGACTGATACTAACATAATGCATACTCAGTATTAAAAGCAGATACTAGAGGAAAGTCAGCTTGCAGTGCCTTGCACCTGAATGCAAGACAGGTGATCCTTAAGACAGCTCACACCTACAACAGCACAACCCAGCCTGAAACAATCTCCCCCTCAGGATATTTACACCATGACTTGCCCTATCTACTTTGTTTTTTTTTTTAAAAAAACTCCTTCTACAATTTTAAACTCTTCCACATCATATATTACCGGGTACCTTGCTAAAACAAATGCAGCAATTTCAAATATAGACCTTACATCACAAAAACAAATGCAATGTTTCAATGGAAGCATTGAAAGGTCTTTCAGGTTTTTGAAGAATAAAATTTGAACTCAATCTGAATATTATTAAAACATGATTAAATTTAAAAAAAACAACAACAACAAAAAAGAATAAGACTTAAAAGTTTCAAAACAACTCACCCCTAAATAATGAAGCTCTAGTAAACTCTCTGTCACAACATATTACGCCATTAAATCAGTAAAACTACAGATCAATGGTGTCTGCTTCACCTCCTCTGTAACATGTGTGTGATGTTCAATGAATCCATAACTACACAATATATATACATGTATCACAAAGACTCTCCATCATGTAATGGAGATCGAGAGCTGTCATGTAAATAACACCAACAACTCCTACATTATATGTAAAGTATT